TGTTCCATGCCCAGTACATCCTTCATCAGGTGGTAGGCCTCACAGATCAGCTGCATGTCTCCATATTCAATCCCATTGTGTACCATCTTCACAAAGTGGCCTGCACCTTCTTCTCCTACCTGCCAAAGACACATCACAGGGGGCCTTCAGACACACTGCTGCCTCCACTACCTGCTCACAGCTCCCCCTTGCTTAGCACGACTCTGTGAGTTTAGTACTAGAGGAAGGGCATCCTGGATACACCACACCTCTATGTGCCAATATAGCATGGCAGCTTCCCTCATGACTTCAGCAACACGGCTCACCTGGGATGAGAAGGGAGTTCATTGTCTACAACTCATCCCTTCTATAGTCTCTGATGAGACTGTCAAAAAGGGAAAGATCTGTGACGGTGGCTTCAGTGTTGTGGACGTGGGTCCATGGGGGCAGAGAGCATGTGCAGGGCAAAGTACCACAGAACAGCAAGCCTGTACTGGGTGCAGTGGACTGAAGCAAAAACCAGCCCTGCTATGCTAAAGGTTATCTTTGCCACTTTTCTGACATACACAGACGCAGATTCCAGAGGCCTAAACACCCAAGCAACGGATCTAATCATATTTCAAGGTCTATCAGTGTCAATCGGTACTTGCCCAGTCACAACAGGGTTCCCCTGTGTTCACTTTAGCAGCGATGCTTTGAAATATCTCCTTGATGTGAGGCCTATGGAGAGGAATGGTATAACTCAGAAGCCAGACAGAAACATTGCAAGAGAAACATGTATCCATGTCATACTGCCACTAACTCACCCCCAGGCTGGATGGGGAGAGGGAACTTAGCTACCAGATACCCCCCTTAAAACTAAGATAAATGGAAAATGCCTCAAGATTTAGCTACCCCATGCAGGAAATAACAAACAGCCCAAGCAGAGCATTTACATATTTTCTTGTAGAGGAGGTCATCAATGCACTTCAAAGATGGCACCTGTTATTCCCTCCATTTTTCTGATGGGGAAGGTGAGAGACACAAATTAAATGTCATGCCCAAGACCATACAATGAGTCAGTGGCAGAGCCTGAATAGAAGCCAAATTCTCTGGCTTGCAACCCTACACATTAACCACAATGTGCGTCTTAGCTGATTTGGAAGGAGACAGGGAGGAAGCTTAATGAACGTTAACTGGGAAGTTGTGCCAAGTAGATAAGATGGTATGAAAAAACACGGAATCAGAAGTGGGTGAAAGGAGTCACCTGAAAGGAGTATAAACAGAGGATAGTGTGCAGGAAGAGAAGAGGGCTACATTCTAGGTGGGGGTGGAAGATATGAACAGCATTTATCCAGGGATATAAGATGAAATGAAAAGCAGAGATTACTCTTGCTGTTGCCAGCTTGGCACTATCAAGTTGGAACGGGATCATCTGAGACGAAAAACTGGTGCAAAGTGACAGGACTTTTCAGTTTCTCAAGCTGTCTTTTCCTTGAGCCAAATATAGGCCCAGAAAACAAAATCTCTCTCCTGACACACAAGAAAAATCACCAGGGACTGATCCCTGAACAGCCACTGCTATGATGTGGGAGAAGGAGCTGGATTCAGAGCCATGTTTGAATGTAAGAATTTGTGCATTCTATAACAGTTCGGAGACACTGAAGAGCAAATTAAGCCTCTTTTGAGCTCTGAATTCCTTCAGCAGCTCCTTTTGCTGCCCATATTATAACTAGCAATTTCACACCTGACACTGAGTCCCAAAAGAGTCAAATAAAGGTCTCTGTTATCTCAAGTCAGGATGCCCATTCTCCTCTTCCCCTGACTCTGCCCTATACAGCTGGTGCCTCCACCTGCACACCATTGAGAAGAAAATTGAGTAAGCATTGATTGCCATGAACAGCCAGGGCTGCTTATGACCTCTGCTGGGCTTACAAGTCCTGAGCTCCCAGGAAACATCATTTGTCTCTGGATATGTACACACCCTCCCACGTGAGTACTCTCTGCTCCCAACATCCAGCGGGGACTTTGTTACTACATGACCAGACCGCAAGAGGAGCAAGTGGGAGGGAGACAGCTGACACTTACCAAGCTTCTTTGTCTCCTCCTGGCATGAGTGAGGGTCCATTCCTGGCTCCTTCCTCTCCCCCACTAACACCGCTGCCTACGAATAAGATGCCTTTTTCCCGGAGTTCTTTACAGCGCCTCTGAATGGGAGAAAGAGAAATGTTTTTCAACAAAAGCTTTTCTGAAACAGAAGAGGGTGAATCCTGCGTTTTACTCCAAGTGCACATGGGATCAGGATAAAGATGGCACTGTTTGCGCCTCAAAGTCATGTTTTCAGTTCTGCTTTGGTCGTGGTGGTATGTGGCATCAAAGAGGAACTTACACACAGGCTGCATTTTGAACATCAGGAAACTTCCTCTTGCTCCTGCACTGACACAGGTCCTTGCAGAGAGAAGATAAGGACTTGGCCCTCCATGAGTCAAAATGTCAGGTTGGCAAATGAGAACCTGGGGCTTGTAAAGGCTAACAGCCTTAGATGCCAGGTGACACATGCTGTGTGCAAAACAAGCCAGAGTCCATTAAACAGAGAGAAAGAGAACACTTCATCATGAACACTGATGCTCTCTCCACAGGACAGAGGCATGGCCTAGTGGTCTGAGCTCAGGGCCAGGAATCAAACTCATGAATGTTAAATTCTAACACTAGTTTCTTCTGTGCCTTTGGGCAAGTCACCAAGCTTTCTGCCTGGTTTCTTTATCAGGGATGAGAATAGTAACTTACCTCCTGGGGCAAAGAGGCAGCATTGTGAGGATTAATCCATGTCTGTGAGGTGCAATGAGATGCCCAGGTGAAATAAGCTACAGCCAAGGCATTAGCATTAGCTTGTTTAACGGGCCTCTGTTGTTCCACGAACAAGGTAACAAGAACAACTGACTCCAGGCATGTCAGGTACCAGCACTGACACCTCTTGGCACCCAGCAGACTTATTCAAGAGAGTTATTCTTGCACCATTCCCATGTTCATGGGATACAGAGGTAATGGAATTACACCAATATGGCCCATCAGCATATAGTCTATGACCTCATGTTCCTGTCAGGCAATGGCTCTGCTATAAGCCTCCTGGCTTCTTCAACTCTTTTTGACAAGGTTTGAGACCCTAGAGCACCAGAGATGAGAACAGATGCATTTTTAAAGGGGCTTTGCTCTAATGAGGCCAGTGTTTTTATTGCTATGTTTCTGGACAGAAACATACACCTTTCACAGGTCCGCTCCTTCAGTAAGGAACTAGCAACCCTAATACAGCTCTTTAAGGGTAAGAGGGTTCCCACTGCAGAGAGGATTTGGTTTCATTCTCCCCAAACAGGAAAGTAAAAGACATCCATGTATATAGCAGTGGGTCACCCACTTCTGGGAGGAAAGAACCACTGGCAAGTATGGGCATCTGGTCTCTAAGGCAAAACAAAGCTGTACCTACCCAAAGCTGAGCTGTGCTGACCCCTCCCCTTCCTGCATCCAGCTGCCACATGGGGTTGCTATGGAATGCTTAGTGTGGCTCAGGCAGGTTCCAGGGTGGCTGGGAAGGCAGTAGCAGGAACCCCCTCAGCAGTGCATATGACAGTGGGAAGGCTTGACCCAGGGCTGCCTCCCTCCCGCTGCTATAGGGGCTGAGGAGGCTTGGGCCATGGCTGCCTCCCTCCTGCTGCTACCAAGGCTGGGGAGGCTTGGGTGCATGTGCTCTTCCCCTTATTGTGCTGCTCCTCCCCGTGGTATGGGCAGGGCCTCAGTGGAGAGGCGGTGCTGTAGGTGGGGCTGCAGGCCTGCCTGCCCTAGCCTCAGCTGGCAGGGTATTTTCATCCCTTTCACATAAGGGAACAGCATCTAGAAGGCAGTATCAAGCTTACTGTGGTGTCTCTGTATTCAGAATTCCCACCATCGATTATGATGTCTCCAGCTTCCAGCAATGGCACCTACAACCAGAAAAGAAAAAAATGAAATGAATCAGCATTATATTTGATCCATATAGGAAAAACTCAGAACAGGCCTGCAGTTGGGATCCCTCAAATGTCAGAATGAACTCATCAGAACCTGTTCCACATGGTACTGCCCCAATCACAAGGAACCTGCCTTTTAGAAGCCAGGTTTATTAAGGGCTCATCATAAGACTGAGCTCCTCAACAATAGAATCCAAAGTCTAAAGCAAGGGGGGGGTTAAATGTGTGTCTTCTCTACCTATAGAGCAGAGACATCACCATATCTACTTGGCAGTACTTAGTGTCTGTAAAATCTTTTGAGATGTCTCTGTAACAACCAACCAAACCTGTATTTTAAAGCATTCTACTGACTGATTTAATCCCCACAGGTTTTCATATGCAAATGCCTTTAAGCAATGCCAAACTAGCAGCATTAATGGGACTGAGGAGCTGCCCTGGGGGAAGCAAAGAATATGGGGCCAATAGCAGCTCGGAAGGAAACTATCCTCACCAAACTTTTGATGAAGTCATCCACTGCACTTCCAGCCTTCACCAGCAAGATGATCCGACGAGGCTTTTTCAGCTTGGAGACCATCTCCTGCAGGCTATGAGCCCCAATCACTTTGGTTCCTTTGGCCTCATTGGCCAGAAAGGCATCCACTTTGGACACCGTCCTGTTAAATGCACAGACCTGGGAAAGCAAAAAAACCCTGCCTATGACACCTCCCAACATAATGTTGTCTGTATCAAGCAATATGGTCGATTAGCCCCACCGCTATGCACTACTCTTCTGCATCTATCCTCCAAAAATCCATGTCAGTGACACCCCTGCAGCTTAGCTGTACATCTTTGCATTGGGTTCCATTACCAACGGGATGTTCCAAGCGCAATTACAACTCCTGAAGGATGGATTATGCCTAACCAATTCATGTGTGATCTCAATTCCTGGCTGGACATAGATGAGCGCAGCCATGCCCTAGGATGAGCAGCAACAAAGGCTGTGATAAAAAGGAAAATCTGAACTCATGCCACTGTTCCTTTCGCTATTCACTGCCTCCCACACAAATTAAAATGCCCAGCTGCTGTTCGTACATACTAGGGATTCAGCCCTTGGGATTGACAGGTTCCTTCACTCACCACAAAGCCGTGGTCATTCATGTTTAAAATCAGGTTCTGACCCATTACGGCCAATCCGATCAAAGCAATGTCAGCTCTGGAAAAGAGAAGCATACATCAGTGTCAGGAAGATTCCAGCTGCCATTAATAATGATCTTCTCAGGCTATTTTGGTCTCCTGCACTGTTCTGTGAACATGATGCTGGTGAGAGTACATATACTCTCCCTGTTCTTATATACTCTCCAGAACACCCTATATACAGTATGAGCCCACATGAATGATAATTCTGGTAGAGAGGTGAACACAGAGCTCCCCACAGGGCATACCAAATGAGCTTGTGTTGCCAGGATCCCTATCCCAGCTACCAAGGCAAACAGGTCCTGGGAGGAAGAGAGGGGGAAAATACCTCCCCTCATGCAAAGCAATTAGAAGGAGGGGGAGCGGAGAAGCAAGAAGGGAAACTGTGTCAGATGGAGTAAGTCCTAACCAATGACACTATTAAATAGAACATGCAGACATCACTTTGCATTTCTGTATTTCGCTGCATTGCCATCAGGGGCCAAAAAGACTCTTCAAGGTTGCCATCACTGCCTCAGCAAGGTGAGGGTGGGAAATGAAGTAGTGCTGGAGATAGATTTAGAGAGAGCTAATATGGAGCACAAGGTGCTTATACAAGAAGAAACACAGCCCCGTCCCTGTTTCTGGAGTCCCTGTTTCTGGATGACCGGGCAATTGATACCACATATGTCAGTTTCACAAGATCAGGGTTTCACACTCAGTAGCACCTGGATTTTGCTTCAGGCCTCTGAAAAAGGACATCAGTCCACTTCAGCTGGTAGAAATCCAGCTCACTGCACCACTTGTTTATCATGGTCTCTTTCCCCAACATCCTGTGCTTTACTGCACTGGTCACTGAAGAAAGAAGTTGGGAGGAACTGCCAAAGCCACCAACTTCCCCAAAATGTGCGGATTAGAGAGGAGCTATTTTATACAGAGACTTCTGTGCACAACTTATCTTCATATACATGTCATCTTGCCCTGTCCCCTCTTCACACTGCCAGAAATCTTCTCTCTTCCATCACCTTGATGGTTCACCTGATTATCCAGTTGTATTGAATCATCTTGCCCAACCCCCCAGCCTTTGAGGCAGCTAATGAATACTGTTGTACTGTATATTCTATCTATGGAAAGACTGGCAGGGGAAGAGATTTGTCACCAAGCTCAGGATCCTAAAACACCCAACTTTTCAGACAGGAGACTAGCACTTCCCCAGCACAGACTCACAACCTGCCTTTTCTCTTTCTGTTCATGTTCTTGAGTTTCTTTGCCCTGTACAGGCCCATCTATAACCTAATGACTTCCAGTAGGCGCTACCAATATATGTTTGCATGTTTCTAGTTGAGTAATGTTTCTTAAATAAAGTCAGCAAGACAAAAAAAGTGAAATAATTGGAAAATTTCAGCCAGAGGCAACAAAATATCCACGTATTTTCTATCTGGCCACTTTCACTTCAACAGCTCCCTTGTATATGTGGCTGGACGACATGAATTGAATTACTAATATCTCCTCCCTATTGTGTTAGTATGGAGTTTGAGCACCATTAAAGCAGTTGCTTAAGGCGAATTTTTTCACTGCCACCTTTCTCAGTCCTACCCTCGAGTGCCCCATGTCAGTGATCACTGTGAAATGGGCCATGGGAAGTCTGAGCGAGGTGGTTCTAGTTTCTTGGGGGCGCGAGGCAGAAGGGGACTCGTCCTCTCAGTGTCAAGAAGAAAAACAGCAAACTCCGACTCTGAGGTCAGACGGGACCATGGGATCCCCTAGCCCAGGGGTTCCCCCCCCCCAGGTTTTCCAAAGGGGGCCGCACCCCCAATCGGAATGTCTTAGGGATCCGCAGATGAAAAAGCTGAAGTCACTGATCTGCTCCAACC